GATCGGATTGACCTCTAAAAAGTGGTATCGGTACACCTCTAAAAATTATATATCCAAAATGATTTTAATTTGATAATCAACCATCTTCTATAAAAAAATTTAATAACAATAAGAGGGACTTAAGTATAGGTATTATTATGTTAATAATTATAAAATAAAAATGTATAATATACTTTAATATGTTTAACAAAGTTTGTAGAGGAGTTTGTTCAACCTTTAATAACATTTTTACTTGTGCAATTTTGACATTCGGCGTGTACCTTGTCCTTTTTCACATAAATTACTTTATAAAATTTTCCATCTAGAATTTTAAGATTCGGATTTGATTCAGGAGAACCTATCTCCATAATTTTATCTTCACTACTATAAATGTTAAACATTCTACAAATTAAAAAATATTACATATAAAATATAACCTTTACTTATTTAGTTTTGGTGTTGTTATTTTTAATCTATCTATCTTTGTGATCTGTAAAATTTCCAACTAATTTTGGTTATCAATATATTTAAATAGCAGAAAATAATACAAGATTTCACGAAGAAAATAAAGTTAGATTGTGTGATATGTAAATGTTTTAAATATGAATATTAAAAAGAATCTGTATCTTTTTAAAGAAAATGAAAAAGATACAAGATTCTTTTCAAAATAAAGGATCTTAAATACAGATACTAGTATCTTATTAAAAATGTCAATAAGATACTGAGACAAGATACAAAAGGATCTTGTATCTTATATCTTAGATACAAGTATTCGCGGTACTGCCCAACTCTGAATATAGATCTCTAACACAACGCTAACAATATATTATGTATATATTATTTTATATTACATATATTAGACTATATATATAATTGTTTGGACGAATATCTCCCTTTTCTCTCACTCGCTAATATTTTTATGACTCCCTCCCAATAATGTTTCTATTTTACTTATTCTGTCTATTTATTAATTCTATTTATGTTTTTATTTTAATTCAAACGACTTTTTCAGGAAATTATTATTTTTTCTTATATATTTTTGTCTTGACTAAAAATATATCTAATAAATAAAATTTTATTTTTTATATTTCATATTTTTAACTTTCTAGGCACCACTGTTATATTAATTTCTTTTTGTTTCTCTTAAATAAAAGTTTTTTCTAATATTGGGCGCCATCGATCTCTCATTTCTTAACATTTAAATTTTCTCTTTCTTGCTTTTTGGGAATGTCTTATACAACTTGTTATTAATATTTGTATTTATTTATTTAGAGCTTAATATCATTTATAATTTTGGTTATTGTAAAGTGATTAGGTTATCCCACCCTGAATTTTTCCCCCTTATTATTGTTTTACTTATTTATTTTTATTAATCATTTCCTTTTCCATAGTCTTCTATTAAACAAAATTTTTGTAAAGTTTTACTTTTACTTTTTATACGCAAGCTGTATTTTATTTCCCTTCAAATTTTAAATCTTTTTCTATTATAATGTCTATGTCAACTCGGTTTCCAAATGTTTTGTAGTTTTTTGAGTGAACCAAAGAAAAATATTTTTTCCATGCTACAGGATCTGATGGCTATAGCTCAGTAACCCTTTAATTTCTGTATTCTTAGTTTTTTGGGTAGTTACTTAGGTAGGATTTGTTCCATCCCACTGCAGCAGTTCTGCTCTCCCATATTTTATTGAAAGAGGGCAAATAGGTAGCGAGATATTGTTATAGGTGCTATTTTTGGTTTTTTTGCTGTGACATAATCTAACCCCGGAGCCTTGTTTTCCCTTAGTTTTTGACCACTTGTTATTTCAGTTATGGAGAAACCAATCCACAGGGGGGGGCGAGGTTTGTAATTATGTTCGTTGGTAGAGTCAATCCGTGAGTGATAGACTATCATATAACAATCAAGCCATAATGCCTTTTGTTAATCCTGGCCAACAATTACTTTTCTATTTCCTAAAACTTACGGAGCTGGTTCCTATTTCTGCGTCATAGTTCCTTTCTCTCATATCTTTATCAATATCAAAGACCTTTTTCGCTATATAATCTATCTATCGCTCCGTAGAGTATTTTGTTTCTCTGGAAAAAGAGAAAAAAAAAGCCTTTGTTGTGTGGTGTTCTTGCTGGATAGTCATAAACCTATTGACTAGTTTTTGCCTATTCACTGGAATTTTCACCTATTTAAACAATTTGCGGCAAACCCATTAGCTTTTTCTTATTTTCATGAATAAATTCTAATTTCAATTGATATGAACACATTCTCAATTATTGATAGTAATTATCAAGGCTTACATTAAAGATGTTAAACTTAAACTTAGCCACCACCCACCCTTAAAGTAATTAAATTATTTTTACAGTTCTTGGGTATAGGCTTTTGTTTTGCCCATTTCTTTTTGTCTATTAGCCTATAGACGTTTAAGCAACAGTTCTCGGACTGTTGCGCGTACAAGTACGTGCGGCTTGCCTACAAACGTGTGAAGGGCTCCTCAATTTTTCTCCCCTTAATTAACTATCCAGTTTGATGGATTTTTGAGGAAAACCTAGCGTAGCTCTGTTGTATCCACAACCAGAGGGCGAAAACGCTTTTATCACGTATCACGTAATGAATGAGTAATGACAGTGCATGCATCGCCAAGCGTGCATATATTATTTTCATAATATATAGATCCCATAAGTGATGTTTACCTATTTTATTACAGGGGCGGTGTCTTAGTCTGAGAATAAAATGGAAGTAGTATATATAGTGGTTATTTATTTATTCCGTTGGCGGTAGTCATTAGTGTTGTTAAAAAGCCCGATTTGGGTTGATTTTAAAGTTAAGATTAACATTATGCAAGCCTAAAGATTTTGCCATAGCTGGCTGAACTGCTTGGACACCTATTTGCCAAATTTCGATGATTACATAATATAATTTAAGCTAAAATCTTAATCGGGTCGTTAAATCGACCCAAATCGGGCTTTTTACTAGTTGTCATATGTCCTCAGGCCCTATGCCGGGAATTTCCAGTTTATCATGAAAGCAATTAAAATTTTATATATTATTGTCGCACCTTCTCTAGTTGGTAAATTATATATTAAGTAGTTTGTAATAATATCTAATATATATTCGTGTTAAAAATTTAGCTCAAAACTGTTTTTCAAAGAAGAAAAAAATAGCTTACCTAAAAACATGTAAAAAAGAGAAGAAAAGATATCTAATTTATTACATCCGATGTGGGATGAATAATAAGATGTTTAATTATAATAATATTTTAAATAAACAAATGGCGTTAAATAGTTGAATGCAAATTGTTACTTATTATTTATTATTAAAAGCATTGATTAATAAAATTTTAAAAATATTAACTGTAATATATTATTAAACTGTCAAATACGTCTGTAAAAGTGACCTTTTACCTAATATTTTATAAATAATTATATATAATAGAGGATTATAAACTATACTAGAAGATAGCCATTCAAAAATGACGGAGAATGAGAATTTTATTCGTTTTTTAAGAAAGATGTTACCTCTTATTTAAAAATCATATCCAATTTATATTATTTTTAAACCCCTCCCCATTTAGGTCAAGTCCAACTAATGTCATTGAGTCCAACCCATTAGGACTAAGAGTGAAAACTATTTTTTGAGTCAAAATATATTTAAATGCTTTTACCTAATATCACAATTCTTTGTAAATATATTACTGATTACATAAGACTAACATTTAACATTAAAAAATTTCAAGTCAGGTCCAAGCTCATAATATTTGGAAAAAATTTCCAAGCGTCCAAGACCTTATAATCTTTTAAAAAAATTTCTCAAGCCTAGCTCAACCCAATAATTTTGAAAATTTTTTCCTAGCCCGGCCCATTTGTAAAAAATATTCCCAAGTCAGGTGCAAGCAAATATTAATATTGAGGAATTTCCCAAGCCCAGTCCAACCTATATTAATTTTCAAAACTTTTTCCCAAACCCGGAGATAGTTAAATTTCTAAATAATTTATCATCACATGAAGGGGAAATCTCGGATTTACCAATTAGTGGGTTAACTCCTTTTATCAAAAAATTTGATAAGGGCTATCTATATCTTTATATTAAGTACAAAAAAAATGTTATCTATTTAAAAAATGCCATTCAATACTAATGAAACTTATATGCAATTTATTTATATATTTTTTAAGAAATGTGATTTTCTTGCCATATATATTTAAGTAATTTTTTTTAAAAATGATGAGGATTAATTATTATTTTGTGCGTCTGGTAAAATTAAGAGCAAATCCTTTATGACATTTTAATTTTTGATAAAAAAAGCGACAAAATAAATCTGGGTAGTCATCTGCAGAATAAATAATTAATGTATAATATCATCCCATTTAAGGTTGTAGGTGAAAGTAATGAATAATGCATCTACAGAATAAATAATTAATGTATAATATCATCCCATTTAAGGTTGTAGATGAAAGTAATGAATAATGACGGATTACCAAAGCAGTGTACAACACCCATTGCGTCCTGATAAAGCTGAGGCCCTGGGTTACTGGTAAAAGAAGAACGCAAAATAATATTTCTGCCAAAGTGTCAGTCTTGGTATCCCCCTCTAAAATAGAATCATGAACGACATTGTCAACTCAACCATAAAACGGTCGTAAGTATTGTTATAAAGGCCATGACAAAACTACAAAATATTTTATCATTAATAATGCTAATGAAATTGACCGCACTACACCTTCTCGTTTGAACATCCCTCTAAATATTCATGAAAGTTCATCAGGGAATCGGATAAAGTATTATTTATATTAACTCCTAGTGAGGTGAATGATAGTGGAATTAAATGCTTATATTTGTTAAAAACTAGGCAGAGGTGGCATAGGGATTGTGGTAGTGGTGATAGAAATATCATTTGGAGGCAAGGTGTATAAAATAAACATATAGATATAAAACAAAATAAACCTCCAGAGAAGTTCACAGTTCCTTATTATATTAGCCACCAGTAACTCTAGAACATGTAAGGCGTTTGTTGAATAGGCATTTTTTTTCTTTGCTTTTAATTTAAGTTTAAGGATATGTTAGGAACGCCATTAGCGATCATAGAAGATACTCTCAAAAATTGAGAAGCAAAGGGGTTGTAGGTGTGAACAATATCCTGCAATTCCATTAAAAGACAACGATCTAAAAACGGGACCTGGTTATGTCTGTTTTCTATCTCATTTATACTATCATGTATATATAATTGAGCAAATTTAGGTGTTTCCCCTAATGTTGGTAGGAGTGAACCAATGCGATGATGAACCTGTCCATTAATTTGAAAGGTATAATTACCTGATCGTGAATTGGATAAATTATTATTTATATTAACTCCTAATGAAGTGAATGACAGCGCGGAAATGTTTGTTAAAAAGTGGGATGATAAACAATGATCCCCGGTAAATAAACATAATAAATTTGGTGGTAATTGGGAAGTTTTAAATAAAATTACCTTCCCATTCAAGCAACATGTAGAAAACTGAATATTTCTACACGAGCTTTTTGATAATTTTTCTCCATTCCACATTTTAGCATTGCAGAAGGCGCATATTTCTGTCATGTTTCCGATATCTAATATAGGTGAGTGGTGGTCATCAAATATATGTCGAAATATGCATGGTAGAGGTGCCATAGGGAATGTGGTAGTGGTTATAGAAATATCAGTTGAAAGTATCTGTGTGAATATATAATAAACATATATATATATAACATTAAAAACCTGCAGGGGAGTTAATATCAGGCGTAGGTCCTTATTATCCTGCATACCTGTATTTCTAGAACGGGTAAGGCGTTTGTGTCGCCATTTTTTTCTTTGCTTATCTTTAATAGAAGTATCATGTTTTGTAGCAATGTGAGGGATCAAGGTTGGGTTAGCCTAAAAAATAATGAAATCAGGCAAAAATATAAAACATTATTATTGAAATAAAACGAACATTAAAATACTGTACTGAACATGTAAAGGGGTCAATATATGCATATCTCTAGTAGTTGGGAGGCTATCATTAAAAAATAAAATTTGTCTAGTTGGGGACTTATCAAGACTATCATGTTTTTCTGAACATTTATTTTGTATTTGTGATTATTAATGGTAGATATATCAATATTTAAACAATTATAAGGAGGAAATAGAGCAGGGTTTGTTATCTAAAATAAAAACAAATAAAAAAATTTTAAAAAATGAATGCGTTAAACTTGCAGAGGAGTCAAGATTAGGATCAACTCCCTAGAAATAGTGGGAATATCATCAGAAGCTAAAATGGATGTATTCTAAAAAATAAAAAAATATAAGAACATTTATGCTTTTTTAGTATATATATATCAGAGACCTGCAGAGGCACCATTTGCACGGCCCGGCCCGGTTTTAAATTTTTTAGGCCCGGCCCGGATATTTTTAAAAAAATTTTTTACGGCCCGGCCCGGATTTAAAAATTTTAGGCCCGGCTCGGAATTTTTTAAAATTATATTCGACCTGGTATATACAAAAATTCACCTATGAGGTATTTTACCATATTTTTCAGCGAGTATTATCGCTTATTATTTAAAAAATACATGAAAAAGCTAATACTTTGAGAATATTATATTGAATTTATAAAAATTATAAAACTGTTATTTATAAAAATGGATATTTTGAGCATATACTATATTTTTTGCATTTATAAAAATAAAACTAATATTCATAAAAATGGTAATAATATTTTGAGCATTTACTATATTTTATATTGCATTTAAAAAAAATAAAACTAATATTTAATTTATAAAAATGGAAAATATTTTGAGAATATAATATATTGTATTTAATTTTCTATTTAATTTATAAAATAAAAATAAATCGCTATTTAAAAAAATGCATGTATAATAAATAGTATTTTGAAAATATAATCTAATTGCATAATATTAATATAATTTATTTTATAATTTTTAAATATTTTATATTACATTTATAGGTTGGTTTTTCAGGTGTAAAAAAAAATTATTAATATGGATTTACCATCACATTTATGTCTTTTTAGATGTGATGTACCATGTTTATAATTATAAGATAATATACTTGAACAATTCTTACATTGTACGTAGCCAATATTTTTTTATTTTCATCTATGATGATGTTAAATTTAGCCCATATTTCAGATTTTAAATTATTATTTGTATTTCTAAAAGAATAAATATTATTTTTAATTTTATTAATTATATCATTAGTATTTTATGCCATGATATTTCTTTATTTGATTGTTTTGGTAAATATTCTAAAAATTTAGATATGAATTATAAAAAATATATTATTAATACTTGAATATTGGGGCTTATTTAAGATATTCCTTTATTTGATTGTTTTGGTAAAATATGTTGTAAAAATTTAGATATGAATTATAAAAAAATATATTAATACTTTGAATAAATTTGCAGGAAATTAATAATTAGATCGATCTGTGGGTGTTAGGTGTGTTAACCATCACCCAATATTATATTAATCATAACTATAATAAAATATAATCTTATAACCATTAACTCATAATGTAAAAATTTTTATAAAAAATATTAAGGCCCGGCCCGGCCCGGGTTTAACAATCTTAGGCCCGGCCCAGCCCGGATATATTTAAAAAAAATTTTTTAGGCCCGGCCCGGATATATTTTAAAAAAAAATTTTTAGGCCCGGCCCGGGTATATTTAAAAAATTTAAAATGGCTTAGGGCCGGGCCTGCAGGTCTCTGATATATATATATATACACTTACTTTATTATGTGTTGTTAGTATATTTTGCTGGGATTCACAATCCCTATAACTATTCTTTTGTTGATTGACCTGCCATCTTTTTCTTTCATTAATGACAGATAAATCACCATCTGTACAATCATTAAATGAGGTTAAGAGAGGGTTTGTTATCTAAAATAAAAACAAAAGAATAATTTAAAAAATATAAATGCATTGAACCTGAAGAGAAGCCAATATAAGGTTCAACTCCCTATAAATAGTGGGAATATCATCAGAAGCTAAAATGGATGTATTCTAAAAAATAAAAAAATATAAGAACATTTATGCTTTTTTAGTATATATATATATACACTAACTTTATTATGTGTTGTTAGTATATTTTGTTGGGATTCACAATCCCTATAGCTATTCTTTTGTTGATTGACCTGCCATCTTTTTCTTTCATTAATGACGAATAAATCACCATCTGTACAATAATTAAATGAGGTTAGGACGGGGTTTGTTATCTAAAATAAAAATTGTAATGATATGGTTATAGAGTGATGTGGTATGGTTTTTATGGAAGTGATTTGTGAATGAATGATTTAGTTTTCACGTTGATTACCATTGATCAAATTTGCTATAATCATTTTGATTGGACAAATACTATTTAAAAGAAAACTATTGGCTAAATTTGATTGACTTTTTTTGAGGATTATATATATAGATAATTTTGAATGTGTGTAGCTGGAGTGGGAAAGTTTAAATTATTGATGTTATACTTTTTGTAAACTAAGGGTGTATGATGATTGTTTGATTTGTAGAAACTCATTTTTATAAATTAAAAATATTATTTACCCTTACTTTGCTTTTCTTTTCAAAATAAATATGGGCTGTATTAATAATTGAATGATAGTATAAACTCAGGCTTGTTAACCGATCTTTTTAAAACGATCGAATCCCGATCACGATCTTTTCAAAAACAGAGGATCGAAATCCAGGATCGACCTTTTTTTAAAAAAAAGATCGCGATCACGATCTTTTTTTCTATTTAAATTTCTGAAGGAAATTTCTGACCGATGCAAAATTAACTAATATATGTTGTAATTGAATAATAATATAATATAACCGATGCAAAATTAACTAATATAAAAATAAATTAAATATGGTAGAAATTTATTATAATTGAATAATAAATATAACAATTATAATATATTTATTTAAAATTAAAATTAGCTTTTAATAATAAATTTTTTTCTAAATTATCATCATTTAAACATCCGCGTCTTTCATTTAGAACATGTTTAGCTTTACTAAACAAGCGCTCCACAGGAGCGCTTGATGGTAAAGGTGTATTTTATTCAATAAATATTTTTTTTAAATTAATATAAGTATTAAAAATATTCATGGAATCATCATTTGAATAAAAAAATTTTTAACGGAACAAGCATTTTGTACAGTATTTTTCCCCCAAAAAGCATCAATGTCATCCATACATTCATTTGAGGTATCCGCATATGGTTGTTCCTGCATATTTTCCAAATGGGCAACTAATCTTTCTTTTACCATCATATTTTGTGGCAGATTAATATAAGGCCAATTAAGTTTAAATTTAGGGTGAATCATGGCTGCCAAAATGTTACTGTCTTCATACAGTGAAGGAAATCTATATTATGAAATGATAATTAATTTATTATTAAATAAGTGTTCATTTTATTCATATAAATCAAATCAAGTATCTGCAAAACTTAATCCTTTTAGATTTTACAGTCAAGTCTGGCACATCATCTGTATGGTATTTATTTATATTTGGGTCATATCATAAATATTGATTAAATGTAAATACTTAATATACAAAGAAATTAACATTGTAATTTATTTACAAAGAATATTATTCAAAATAGTAGCTTAAAATTCAAATAATCTAATAAATTTTTAATGTTTTCAAAGGCCCATTAATATTTTACTAGATATCAGAGGTTTAGTAGAACTGGCCTGTTAAAAATATTTTACTAAATTTGCCATATCTTTGCAATTTTTTAATATATTGCAGATATATGATAATATAAAATAATTGCATAAAAAAATATTACCTTTTATCAATACCTCTAAGAACACTATCTACAAGGGGCTGACAATACCGCAGGCAGCTAAATTTCGTTAATTTATCTATCAATATCGGTAGAACGGGAGTTAGATATTCCTGCTCCATATTATCCTCCTGTTCCAAGATTTTTAACGAGATCGCCAAAGGTTCCATAACCTATGAAATTTAAATTTATTTAGAGAATATCATTGTATTACTGTTGCATATTCTTTAACAAAAAAACATTCCTCTTGCCTAAATATTGCAAATCTAATTTGATCACATACTTGTTCTACTTCTGAAAACTTTTCAGAAAGCATCTTATCTATTAATTTCATGGATTGGTAATGAGAATTCCATCTTGTCTTGTTGGGAGCTATTAAATATCTTCCCAATTTCTCCAATAAAATATCCGCCATTTTTGACGACATATTTTGTTTATTAACTAAAGCAAAACATTTTGCAAAAGTGGATCTAGATATTCGTTTAAAATTGAGATCACTATCTGCCATCTCCGCATCTGTTGTTGCAATAAGGTTAAGATTATGGCAACAACAACGTTGATGTCTTGGTAGGCTGATAGTAGGAATAATTGGGTCATCAACGGATAATATGTCATCCAAATTTATCAATTCCATATCCTCACTACTATCTTCTTCATTTTCTCCAAAAACTCTAGAAAAAATAAATTTATTTAAATATTTTTTGCTAAATATAAATATTACTTAAATGCTGTGACAAAGTTGGTTCCATTGTGAGTCACCATCTTCACCACCTTATTATGAATTTTATAGAACTTGTGGATACCCATGATTTCATTGGCCAAAACATCATATGTTTGCCTCCCAATTATCCTCCTCAGTGCCAAAGCGGCTGACCTTCTCTTGAGGGTTAACGGATCCAGCCAATGTGCAGTAAGTCCAATAAAAGCCCTAATAAAATAAACATTATAAATTCATATAAATATAATATACCTTCGATGACCACTCCAACAATCAGCAGTGGTGCATACATACGAAACTTCAGACAAATCTCTTATAAGATTTGTCGTCATATAAGAGAAGGAAGTAGATATCCTGTTGCCCAGTGTTTGGCGACAAATAATTTTTGTCGCAGGAGAAAAAGTTTTAATCATTTTTTCAAATGAAGGATCATCAACCAGAGACAGTAGTTGGAAGGTGTCAATTATAAAATCCATGATAACCTTGTCTGCTGTTTTTTGCGATACAGCTGGAATGTTTAGATTGTTAAAATTTAATTTAGATTGTCTGGATTTGCAACCAGAACCACTTTGGTTTTGCAGTGATATATTTTTTTGTGTATAGAATTCGTTGAGGTGTTTGGTAATCTCATTTTTAAATTCACTGTGCTTTTTCTTTATAAAAGAAAAAAATAGTATGTATCAAAGTTGGATGAAAATAACTTCTCCTGAATCAAATTTCATTTTTAAAATTTTATATGAAAATTTAAAGTTAAAAAAAACAATGTACAGGCTGAATGTAAAACCTATATAAACAAAAAAATGATAAAGGATTCAACACAAATTTTGTTAAACATATTAAAGTATATTGTTTAATTTATATATGGTTAAAAAAGGTTCATATAGGTTATTTTAAATTTACAATATTGTCTTTGTCTATTATTATTAAAAGGTGCCCAAGATGATATGGGCTAAAGATTTTGATAAAATATTTTCCTATATATGAATATAATTAGCCTTTTTGGCATTTAAGAACTATGGATTAAGGGCTCAACAAATTTTGTTAAACATATTAAAGTATGTTTTATTAGTGGTTAAAAGGGGGTAGGTTATCTTAAAAATTTAAGTTTACAATATTGTCTATCATTAAAGTTGCCCAAGATGATATGGGCCAAATATTTTGATAAAGTATTTTCCTATTATGAATATAATGAGGCTTTTTGGCATTTAAGAATTTATGGAAATGATATAAAAAATACTTTCAATTCAAAATATATTATTAAAAAAAGCCCTAAAAATGTTGCCAAGAGGATTATATAATCAAGCTCAAACTGAAACTATAATACTAATTGATTAGATTTAACATATTATAATAAAGAAATATAGAATAGATATTTAATTTTCTTTTGGTGAAACATTGCTAAGTTCAATACAAATAACATTGAACTGGATGTTTTAATTATATTAAAGAAAGTCAAAATACCTTCCATTTATTATAAATACTCTTCTTTTGAAAATTAAACTAATATAATAGTAATATTAAAAAATAAATGCCTAATTATTATATATAAATAACAAAACCAAGATTAACTCTTCATCAAATATTTTATTAATTATACTGTATCTAATAATTCATTTTTTTTATAAAGAATCTGTATCTAGATTCTATTTCTGAAGCACCTGCTCAACTCAGGAATGTAATAAATTAAATTTAAACATGTTGACATTAAGATTATCAAATAAAAAAAATTTAAAAGAAATGATATTATCTTCTTACAGAGACGGCATTTGGTGCTGATCATATTATAAGAGTTGCTTTCATCCATTTCACATAAAGTAAAATACTTACGTAATTTCAAAAATGGTAAAAGATTCTCATTCTCACTTATATCTGCTGTTACATCAATAGTAGAAGCAATAGAATCTTCTAAATCTATAATGGACATTTACATTTACTTATTAAAATAATATTAATATATTATTATAAATTTATATTAAATAACTTGTAAGAGCTCTAAATCTCGTAAAATTTAGGAAATGAATAAATATATCTATAAAATAAATGGTGGAATGGATTGATAATGGAAGTTGATAAAATCTGAAGATAGATATTTTTTTTTAAAATAATATTTTAATTTAATTTTCAAAATTTTTATTTTATTTATTGCTTTTTAAGTAAAAAATTAATTTTTAAAAAGATCGGGATCGAATTTTAAACAAAATGATCTCGATCTCGACCTCAATTTAAGTCAGAATCATAAATCTCGTAAAATTGCCAAATTTGCGATCGAATCCAGGATCGTCGATCTTTTGATTCGATCTTTTAACAACTCTGCTGGTTATAATGTTTTTGACATAAGATCAACCTGCATTCAAATTTTCTATTTTTTAATTAACACTTTCTTGATTAAATTTACACAATGTTTTAACCTAATTAAAGATTCTTATTCTAAATTTATAAAGTAGATAAAACATTTAGTATAATTAACTTAATTTAATATTCTTATTTAAATATTTAAACTTCAGAAAACAAGCAATTATAAAGGTTAGTTGCCTGAAAGGTTTTGTAATATTATAATGAAGAGTATGGAGTGAAAAGTGTAAGTGATAATTAAGTGTTAAAATAGTATATATCTTTTCTTTTTTTAAAAAGAATTTAGCTTAATTTAATAATCTTACTTCTTCTAATATTTAACTTATGAAATCAGTGAAAAGGAAACTTTGGTCTTTTCTTGGGTAATCATTTGTATATTAAGTTATTATCATTATTTTAAAAGATATTCCCATTTTAAGATTTACAATATACTTGTATGATCCATAGCCTTCAACCTGTTTCCCATGAAAATCCTAGAGTGCTCTTATTTAGAGAATTTTTTAAAATAACTGGCACTCCGATTTCAGGAATTCAAGGAAAATGATTAACTTGTTGAACCATCGTCCAAGCAGTATTATTTATAAATATCTATCCATTTTTGCAAAATCAAATGTGATAAAATGTTAACAAATATGGTTCCCGTTCTAAATCGCTAAAAATAATAAAAAATATAATCTATTTAAAAATAAATTAAGACTGTTGGTTGGTAGGATCATCTGTTTGTATAAAATAAATAAATAAAATCAACAAATAAAAAAAATAAAAATAAATACGTACCGATGACATGACGTAGCGATGACATGACGTAGCGATGACATGACGTCACGATGACGTAGTGAGGATATCGAAAAATTATAATAATGATGTGAATACAAAAATAAATGATAAAAATGATATAGTTTGTTATCGATGCGGTTTTTTAGGTCATATAAAAAGAAATTGCATAGTGAAAGAAGTAAATTTTAAATATGGTTTTCCAAAGAGACCACTAGTATTAATAAATCGGGAGGTTCGTTATAAAAAATCATAATATTTCAAATCTATGTGAAAGATTATATAATAGGGATAATGACCGAATGTGTTTCAAATGTGAGGAAATGGGTGATGTTGCCATGAATTGTGTTCAATCCATGAATGAATTGCAGTGAATTATTATTTGAAAGAGAATTATGTAAAAATCGAAAATAAAATTTGTAATATATAGTGTTTTTAAAAATTTTCGGTTATATTTAATAATGAAAAAGTTATTCATATTAAGAGGTCATTAAATTCAGAGTTGAATATAGGCATGAATATTAATTATTGAAAGTGATAATTCAAATATAATAAATATAATTTAGCTGATTAGAATGAATAAAATTCTTATGACTAGAGAGGTTAGTCAGTGTTCATATCCTCGTGTTAATGTAAAAATTGATAGACAAAATATTGAAATGTTGTTTGACACTGGGGCAAGCATTTCAATAATGTCTAGAAAATATTATTATAAATATTGGCCTGAGGGTACACTTGAGAAAGAATCTATGTTTGTCAGACAAATTGATGGGTCTAAAATTGTGGTTTTGGGTAAAACAAAATTTTGAGTGGTTCTCAAAGATATAACATTTTTTCTTGATTTATGGATGGTAGAAAAAAATGTTGAAACTATTATGGGTTGGGATTGGATTACCAAACTTGGTCCTTTAAACAATTATTGGAATATTTTTACAATAAATAATGATTTGATATTAAATAATGCTGAACGAAAAATTATTGCGGATAAAGTCTGAAATAAAATTCGTGAAGTAGAAATAAAAGATTTAATAAGAGAGGAAGGGAATCCCCTCATTAATCCTGATATGTGTGATTCCGATGAATTAATGGTTAAATCAGATATTTTTAAAAATAAAATTGATATTAATGAAAATTAAATTGTTGATTCAGAAGTTAATAAATTAAATAATATGTGTGAAGATATATCCATTTTAATGGAGAAATATGGTATAATTTTTGAAGACACTTTGGAATGTCTTAATGATTATTAAGTTGTGAAACTAAAAGAGGATTTCACCCATTTTTTTAGCATGTCGACGAGTTCCTTTTGAGTGGAAAAAGGAAATTGAAGACGAATTAGACCGTTAGGTCAAAGATGACATCATTTTTCTGGTGGAATATAGTGAATGGATCACACCATTGGTTCCAGTGAAAAAAGCTAATGAAAAGTTGAGGCTATGTGCTAATTTTCGTGTAACTTTAAACCGGTGGGTTGTTGTTAAATAGCTATGCCCAGAATTGAAGAAATTTTGGCTAATTTAAAAGGTGCAAAATATTGGTTAATGATGCTTACTACCAAGTGAATGTATGGAAATATTTTAAATACCATCTAATTTGCTAAAACCGACCAAAATTTATTAAAAAATAAGACCCTTATTATTTAATATATTAATACAGAATCACGTGGTCGAGTCCAGCCTTCTATATATCATCCCCCCCCATGGATGGAACCACCAAGTTAGAATAAGAAAAAAAACATGATCATTCCAGGGATTCGAACCCGGGAGCATGGGGTAAGTAAGTCAAGCTCTTGCCTACTAGGCCATAGAGGCTTTCCAAAAAACACGATTTTTCAAATATATATTATAAATATATTTGGTAGTGTCTATCCAAATGAAAAATGAACAAAATTCAAATTTGATAGATGGTACCTTAAGGTAGTAAGCATCATTAACCCAAAATATTTTTCATAAGTTGATTTTTCTTCAGCTTATTTACAGCTACCTTTGAAGGAGGAAATTCGTAAATTGTTAACGATAACTACCCCTATAGGATTATTTGCAGTTTGCAGGTTACCGTTTAGATTAAGTGTGTCAGCACCTATTTTTCAGCGTACTATGGCATCAGTTTTCCAGGGGCTAGAAGGTGTATTTTATTATATAGATGATGTGTTGATAACTGTGGTGACACCAGAGCAGCATGATCAACGTCTTGAAGAAGTTTTCAAGAGAATTCGTAATAAGGGTTTGAGAGCTAGTTAAGAAAAAAGTGCTCTTGGTGTAACCGAAATAGGCATTATACGATTTATTAAAGAAAGGGGTTATTTTCAGTGGAAAATTGAATAATAAAATGCTTTTAAAATTTTGAACAAGAAAATTGGCGAAGAACCGATTTTAGTGTGTTTTAATAATGATTTAGAAATATCTTAGCCGTAGATGCATCTAATAAAGGTGTCGGAGGCGCGTTATTACATTTAATGGATGGTTTAGAGAGACCAGTTATTATTTTTTCAAGAATTTTTCATGAAGTTGAAATTAGTTATTCTGTTATTGAACAGGAGGCTTTAGCGGTTATTTTTGGATTAACCAAGTGTCGTGAATATTTAATTAGTAAAAAT